TTAGTTGTAAAGTAAGAGGGCGGCTTTTTGTGTGACAAGTTCAAATACTGACAGTATTTCTGCATTCTTCTGCTTGTGTGGTTTTAGCAAAATTTCTCTTAGTCCTATACAACTGGACAAATCAGCAGTCCCAATTTGTGAACTGTTATATATATCCTGACTCAAGGCCTGAGAAAGAAATAGATGTTGGCGTTGTTTTTACTCAGAATGTAAGAACTATGTGCTCTGTTACCAGTTCTGTTTTGCTGCTACTTCTAATATCCTTTAAGTGATTTCCTGTGCAAAAGTTGTGTGATCATTTTCTTTGCTGGAGGGACTGTTTGTTTCATGTGATCCAGGGATACATTTCAGTATTTTGTAGTTGCTAAACTATAAACTGGTACCTTCTCTTTTAAAGCAGTTTCTTGCATTTTAATCGTATTCATTTTATAGCTAATTTTAAAATTACATTACTATTAATATTTAAATTCAAATATATTTTTCAGAGTCCAAGTAAGGGACTTGTATCTATCAATACTTTTCTTTCTTGTGCCATACAATGTATGACATTTCCAGAGCACAACAGTTCGTTCAGAAAAAAAAAAAGCAAATGTTATTCAGTTTTAGTGGATGTTGTTGTTTGTACATAGGTAGAAATGAGATACAGATAACTCGTCCAGTTAAGGGTATCACATTTTTGGAAATGTGATTACAGCCAGCAGAATTTTTTAGCCTATGCAGCTCCCTAGACCTGCAGCTGAAATTGATATACTTTCCAGTTTCGCAGCTAATAATAAAAATGCTGATTTCAAAGGGCATATTCAAATTATTCTAGGTATCTATCCCCTTCACACCTCAACAGATCTTTTTTTTTTACAAGAAGTCTGTATTCTTTACGATGAGACCCCCCCAAATATTACTACATTATACGTGGCAGTGACCCACAGCTTTTCGTGTCCTATGCTCTGATTTTAAAATCACTTGAAAACCAAGAATTTTTTTTTGCAAAAAATTTTAGGCTCAGCAAAGCTGGCATGGCTCTTACCTGCTCTCCATCTAAGCTTTTGACATCTCTTAAGGCTTAGAACAGGATGGGAGGTATTAGTTAGGCAAATGAATGAACAGCAGTGTTTTTCCTAATGTGGACAAAAATAAAGTTTTGAATTTGGTTGCAAGTAAATTGTTGGTGTTTCTAGACCTCTGGCCTCATTAGATTTTTTGGATCACTTATAATAAATTATTTTTTAATGATATTTTCTACAGTTGATTGATTAGTTTCTGGCGTCACTACATAGCTAGATAGAGTAGAAAAAAAAAATCTGTCCTGAGACAAATTACTGAAGTTCTATAGAATCTCAATGCAATTTTATTAAACGGACTTCATTCAAATACTGGAACAGGCTGCTAAGCGAGACTCTGGAATCTCCATCCTTGGAGATGCTCAGAACTTGACTGGATAAGCCCTGATTTAATTTCAGAGTAGGCCTTGCTTTGGGTGGCAGGTTGGGCTAGAGGGCCTCTGCAGACTTCTTCCATCCTAAATTAATCTGTGATTTTATGAGTCTTTGACTCTATGAATGAGAGTTTAAATCCCATTTTAGACAAGGAATCTCATAATTTTAGTTGAGTAGATATGTTACCCTGATCTTAGCTTCTGTTACATATTCAGGGAGTATTTGGCCAATA